TAGTTTTGATGCAAAAACGCATGATCGCACCGGCTCGCCTGGTGCGTTCCAGCCTTTGTTTGAAATTTGAAGTAATCCCTTATTTCTTTAAAATTTTGTTAAATTGTACTGCAATTTATCGCGCCTCATGCAGATTCACCTAAAATGACGCCATGTGCGCGAAAATGTAGCGCGACGTCACGTATCCATAATGCATAGAGTTGAATTCAAGGACAGCCTGTGGAGTCCCATTGGTGGTAATTATTAGCACGAAGCATCCACATGAATCTTAATAGTTTGCTGTTTTGCGAGGAGTAAATCTTTACCTGTTCGCCCTATCTCTAACTAACAATAAATTGCACTAAAAATGAGCTCAGAAGTGCTAAGCCAAAAAAGAACCCACAGAAAACGTTTAGAACTTAAGTTCTGTTGGGAACATGAGTAAATTACGAGATTTGTCAAAATAACTTTATATTACTGCAGGGGAAGTGAAATCCTTGTCAGTTTGGGTGCGGTTAGTGTTGTGACCAGTTCTAGAAGTGACCTTAACTTTCGCAGCTCATGGATAATTTGGATAGTTAGAACCTAAACTCAATGAATTTGTAAGCCCATACCAAATTACTCAAAATCATACTGAAGTTATGTGGGTTCATCGATAAAGCTCTACTGATCGGTCAGCCTTAGTGTCACCTCTGCAATTCTCAGCCCGCATTATGTTGTTTCTGCTGCTGAAAGCTTTTCGAACTCGCTAAATTTAATTTTCTAGAAATTCTTTTGACCGCTCGCCTGCAAATGCAGTGACTTTAGTGCTTTGGTACTACTCTGGGATGTACACGACTTAGTGGACTATAAACACTCCAAATTAATTGATTTTATTTAAGTTTTCGATATCCTTCTTTGTTTTTGACACTTTTGTGATTTTTGCTACTATTTACAGTAAATTTAACATTACTATATTAATGTTTATGTCCTATCGTAGCCTAACCTAACAATTGTAACCTGTCCCATTCAAATTTGTGTTAAAATTCAAGTGTTTTGCGTCTGAACAAGGCATCCTGCTACCTTTTTCTTTATGTCCTGGGGCTCTCAAGTGGAAAAAAGGCAGTCGCATTGAGCAGTTTTATACTGATTCTTGCAATAAACAACAGTAATGTTTTCAGGCGCTTTTGCATTTTGGGATCCGGATTATATTGGCTGGCGTCTGATGCTTGGTTTTGCTGTAGTACCATCCGTTATACAACTTATTGGCTTTATTTTTTTGCCCGAGAGTCCGCGGTACTTGTATTCCGTTGGGAAACATAAAGATGCAAAAGAGGTGCCTTTCACTTGAAGAAAAAACAAACAACACCGGAGCTAAATTTTCAGAATTTTGCCGACATTCATAATGTTTGTTCTTTTACAGTAGTTGCTCGGTTCATTTTCATTGTTATCGCCAGGAAATCTTGAAATGAAGTTTCAGCGCAGCGTTCAATTACCGACATGCGTTGTTGTCACCGACTCAATGATGTTGTAAAAATGTTTAAACGAATCTCCCCTTAGTGTGCGAATCATTATTACTCGTTCATCTAACTCATGCTAGTAAGAGCACGTGTCAGCGAGTACTCTTTTACCAGATTTTGATACGTAATTGGGTAAACTTGCCCAATTTTCTACCGAGGTCAGAAAGGACACAGGAAAGTGTCCATTCTGATTCTTTTATTCCTTTTTTCATGAGTAGTCACATCTTCTTACTCTCATAGTTTGACTTGCGCTTTGTCTTTTTTGAGTTACGTGATTTGTCAAAATTCGATTCTTAAGATCAAAAGTTAAGTCAAGAAGCAACTTTTCGATTATAGGTTTCTGTTCTTTTCATGATTGTGGCGTTTTCCAAATCACAAGTTTCCAAAATTTCTAATTTTTAAGGTTATAAAAATTTGCTCGAATTTAGGCCCATAGTCAAAGATTAGTTCGCACAATGACCTAAAAATTGTTCCACTTCCGAGTTCTTGCATACAACATTTCAGTTTCCCAGCTTTCGTAGATCTGCCACTGAAAAATTTGATCAAACCAACGGACAGTAGTAGCTTAGAAAAAGGTGTGCCGAATAACATTGCAGTTACAAGGGAATTAAAATCCTGCAACTGGGAAATGCTGATGATTTTGCTAGCAGCCCAAATGGCTTATAAAAAATACTACTCTAGTGATCACGGTAAGGCAGCTTGGGCTAACTAGTCACGCGCATCTCAGGATCGAACGACCTTGCACAGCTGCGCCTGCATTCCGGCAACATCACTAGCGTGGGATCCAATACTAAATGTCCAAGAGATCGTAGGAATTTTACATGGGCATTAAAACTAATACCTGCCTCCTTGCACTACGCCGGTTCACTTTGATTTTAAAGAATTGAAACCTCAGGTTCTAAAACGAATTTATGCTGGCAATGAAGTGTGGGCGCAGTTTACTTATACGCAAATTGATGTGGCTCACGAGCAAGAACAGTACTCCAAGGCCCAAACTGGAAGTATGCAAATTCAAGATGAAAATGTATTGAAAATTCATCGAAAAGGATAAATTTTCCAATACCTAATCTCAGTTTTGGAAGACTTTTAACTTTTAGCTTTTAACAAACTAAATTCGTGGGTTTAGGAATTGATTTTACATTTCATCCGTACTCAGACTGCTAAAAATTAGTTCAAGATTTAACTCAAAATGAGCATAATATCTCATGACGAAGTCGAGGAATTTTAATCCTCAAGATTGGGATACAAACCTTGAAACGACTTTTTAACCACAGGGGAATCCAGGATGATGAGGGGCTATGATAAAACTTCCAATAGCTACAAAAATTTACTCAGGACATTTTTCGATTTGTCGAAAGCTCGTCGGCGAATCGCCAATATCGTCATAAGGGTCGTAATATCGAAAAATTTCACCGGAAATCCAGCCAGTAGCTGTTGGCCAGTAAATGCGCCGTAAAAACGAGCGAGACCAGAAGCAATCGTCCCAGACAGCAATGCAGAAGACCGGGTCCAAAGCCAACCGCCCCGTAATCACCTTTAACATAGGAAAACTGGAGGAAAGGGAAAAATTCAAATGTCTTGTAAATTATTCAGTAATATTCAAATAATTTGGCAGGGAAAAAGAGAAAAATAGATTAATAT